GGGGTTGGTTTTGTTGCCTGGTAGGCTGTGGTGTTGGCGGGTTAGCAGTCGAGTCGAATGACTTTTAAAAACAGCCCAGCCCCCCCCGCACCACGCCACCGAACTTTGGCATCTGAGTGTGCGGGCCTTATGGTTGGATGCAACGGCTTAAACACTCTCTCCCCCCAGGGTTGTTCAGGGTGTGTCGTTTCTATTTTGAGGGAGACATTTTTAGTTCTGCGGTCGCCGCCCAGATTATCAGTTTTCTATACGCGTCTGTAGCTATATCATTGCATCTGGCCATACTCTGCCTTATTATATTTTGTATATCTCTTTAATATATTCGCGTTGGCCTTGGAAATCCTATTTGATGGTGCTTTATTCTATATCATCTCCTTATTAATAAAATAAAATTGTATAATTAAATATAGTGTGTTTGTATATCATGTCAGGATATCTCTATTTGTAACTAATATGTTAAAGCTATATATATATTATGAAGAAAATATACAGATAAATATTTATAATTAATATATCAAATTTGATGATGTTATTCTTATATTGATACGTAATCCGTGTGCGTGTATATTTGTCAACGGGTACATAGTCTAGATTATATGTTTAGTTCCTCGGTGAGTTATGCGGAGAACACTGTGACATCATTGAGCAGTTCAGGAATCATTTTATATCTAGATTCTCTCGAGAAGAGATGGTTATATCGGATGTCTCCGCGGACCTTCTGGTCATGTGGTCATTTCATAACAAGGCACTATGAAAATGGGCTGTAGTAGTGTTCACCGCTTGTAGGACATAATAAATATAGTTTTCTCAAGTCCGCGTCCCGTCAACTATGTCGTCATGAAAATGTTCTAGTAAATCTGCCCTGATGCCATTGACCTTGGAACTGTGTTGTGACTCTAAATCCTTCACCTAGTGATGTCTTTCTCTATCTCAGTATAACATCCAATCCCGGACGTATTGCCGCGTCCATGAGATTGTTGCGCAAGTCTGCATTTCTCTCGTCTTAGTTACCTTAAGTTAAGGACGGAATGTCCCGTTCTTTTATGCCTCTTGACCTTTGTATCCTCCCAGCTTCTCGTTTATCATCTCATATATCGTTTCTTATTGCTCCGTCTATCCCTCTAGTCTTGTGCGGTGTAATTATTGATAATATCGTCGGAGCTCTTAAGATTGTGCCAACTGGTTATCGGGGCGGGTTGTGTTTGTGGTCCGGGATTCGGCACGCGCGCTACGCGACAATCATGGTCGATTTATCAAGCTACATCCTGAGCTACGTCAGATTAAGCTAAAAACGGATAAGGGCTCTTATTAGAAAGAATCACCTTTGTGTATCTGTGATTACTTCATTCTCCGTAATGAAAAGTCACCTTTGTTGACAAAGGTTGAGCAAATCTTTCCATACCACCATAAATAGTGTCATTATTGAAAATGCCGTTTATCAAAGATACGTGTTCAGGTTTGAGGCGATTTTCGGGTCGAAAATTTCAATACCCACTTCATGTTATAGATCGCACCTGATGGCAGCTACATGTATATGTAGAAAATTATTTATACTGCCTCCTAAACAGTTTCAAATCCCTCGCACTTATTAGATTCTTAACACCAGGCGTTCAGATCATTGGGACTAATTAGAACCATTATTTAGCACAATTTTATGTACTCCATTGTATAGAAAATGCTGAAGTTGTGATGTTTCTAAGACGCTCATTTCTCGAAACTCACAACTCCCATTCCAAAATTCTTTTGTTACGGTTTTAATGCTAACATATCAAAGGAAAAAGCTCCCTGCGAATTTTTTTTAAATCTGATATTTTATGAAGTTATTGGCTGCTTTTCGCTTCACGACATTGTTTGTGGCGTTTTGAAAAATCAACTACATATATTTGCGTACTCCGTTCAACTTATTTCTAGATTTGAATTAAATTTGAAAAAAAAATTCCAGGCGACGTTTTTAGTCTCACATTCAATTAACAAAATTATGGTTAAAAGGTTTAACGGTCCAAACTCTTTCGCTTGTTTCTGAGAAATTGAAACAAAAAGAGACTATTTTTGGTAAAATCTCACATTTTTCAGTCGAGAGAGAGCGTAGATAGAGAGACATCTCTCTTATGTAAGAGATATGAGTTTGATAGTGAAATTTGATGAGCAGCTTATGTGGCAATGATCCTTTACAGTGTTACGCGTCTTCCGTAACCTACGAGGTATCTTATTGAATTGAGTAGTGATTAGACTTTACATGGAATCGGGCGCCTGTCATAGTAGAAATATGAATTTTGAGCACACCAAAATCATATACAACCATGAAAATTCACTTAAGAACTCACTTTATTCATACTCAACAGTATTTTGCAAATTAGCTCAGATTTGTGGTATATATTCGTAATATTAGCAATATTTGATTACTTTCTAAGACACGCAACGAATAGGAGTAGCAATATGAACAATATTACTTTAAACTAATGCATCTCAATACATTGGTAATATAATGACTATTTAATCATCTTCTCTTGCATCATAGTAATGTGTATTTTCCCATTTCATTATTTTTGTATATATCCTAATATGTAAGCATATATTGCTCTTAGTTATAGTCTTTCTTTCTTTTTCTGTACCAACTGTTTACGGAGACCTAAACATGTGTGGTGGGATGATTGGTTACGGAAAAACAGCTAAACCTTGTATAAAACTAACACAATTCACCCATCCATAATGCAAAGTTCAATCTAATATACTGACTCACCTACCTAATTGAGATACGTTTCTGAGTAATCACTCCAGAACATGACAGTGGGACAAGTCACTGATCCCTCATCCACCCTAGTTAGGATATGCTGCCTAAATAATCATTCCACACCCTTAATAGTAGAGAAGGCAATATCACACGATGAGAAATGCAAACCAACATGTCAACCTGCTACACACTGTGAATAATAACAAGCTTTCTCAGAGATTCCTGTTGAGTTTTATAAAAATTACTGAAGCACTATAATTTTGCTCCATAATCACAGCATTAAGTGTCACAAGGTGATCACGCAGCCACAATAAACACTTCAGTTATTCACGATCAAGATGTATCTAGCCGGTAGGATTAGTTTTTAAAACGTTATCTTAGTACCTGTACTAGACTGTATAATACCACAAAAATAGCCACTGCGTGACAATACTCCACTATAGACTACTCAAATTATTCAAGGCTAGTGGAGAGAGAGGTATTGCTGCTGGTGGATGTTGAATCACGCCTGGTTAAATAATGCGAAAATTATTAACGAGCTCAAAACTAGATTCATTAATTAATGATGTGCGACAAAAAGATTAACAGAAGACATGATTAAGGAAGATTTTAGACTTTAGGGTAAATGAAAGTGTCAATGACACTGTAGCTCACCACAAATTACGTTTTTATAATATTCAGATTTAAGCACTGCCTAAAAGCGGAGCTCCCGATGTGTAACGTGTAAGATTGAGAAGATACGCTTATTCCACATAGCTGCTATATACCACGTGACAATGGTGTTTCCCTGCCCATAACACAACTTTTGTCAAAGGTTAATTGGTTGCATGGAAATGTTTACTTCCTATGAGTTTTTCTAGGCGGTAGCACACGGTTGCCAACTGTATATCGCAACGCACGCCAGTCGACGTACTTTCGAGCCACGGCAATTTTTTGGCAAAAATGGGAATTGCCATTAGTCAGTTCAGGCTCAACGGATTTTGCTCATTTTTGGTATGTGAATGAATAAGGGCTAGGGGTTTTGATATTAAAAAAAAAATTATGCAAATTAGGTAGGTTTTGGCAATTATATAGCATATTATATAGACACGCAGATAACAGTCTGTGGTGTCACACTCGTCTGGTTCGTTTTACAAGACAATATCTTTAATGCAAAATTGGTATTTCCTCTCCACCCTGCCGATAAAACGTCTATATTAGAGTAAAGTTTTACAAAACATGTCGGAACGCAGCATAACCTATTTATTTCGAACGCCATCGCTAAGAAACATCAAAGCAGGTATAGCGCCATCTACCGTCACAACTTGTGATTCATTTTGGTTTATAAATTGTTTTCCAAAATAGAACGTTTAATATGGGAGCATAGCAGTAACAACTATACCCAATTTCAAACATATGGGTCAAACGGTTCCCGAGTTATCGTTGACCGTAGTCAAATGTTGACGGACGGACGGACGGACGGACGTACGACGGACGACGACCCATGGCAACATAGCTCAGCTTGACGATGTCATGGTGAGCTAAAAACCGTTGTAAAATGAAACGCTGCCGGCCCGCCTAGCAACAGTTGTTGCCACGCGCACTCGAGACCGCCCATTGGCTCGCGCGCGCTGAACGTTTAAAATAGCCACGAAATAACAGCTTCTGGTTGGAGGGGTCAGCGGAAGGTCAGCGTGCGTTCGCAGCGCACTCTTTAAAGATCAGAAGGAAAATTACTTCGGCAAGGATCGATGTCGGGTGAAGCTTTTTTTAAATGTTTACGAGGAAATCCGCAGGGGTTACAGTAATTAGGGATTGTTGTATTCTTAGAAGTTCTATTTCCAGATTACTTGAATGCGTGATTTCCGACATAAAACGACGTTAGTAGACATTAAAATCGATTGAAATCAATTTACTCGTAGAAACCCAATTATGCCAAAAGTAGATTTCACCATTATACGCTAGCATCTCCTAGGAGGAAGAGATTAGGTTCAGTGTTACAGAAAAACGTGATGGAATTTGTGCTAGAGAGGTAGATGATTATGAGGTAGAGGGTTATGAGGTAGAGGGTTATGGTTAGTGTTACGGTTAGAGTTGCTACTCGTGGTTGGGGATGTGTCGGAGTTTTAGTTATTCGTCTCTAGTGGTAGCGCCACAGTTCAGGTTAAAGATTATCTATTACACGCATACAATCTATGACATAGATGCGCGCCTGACCTTACGTTGAGCAAGAAATTGGTCGCGTTGGACCGCTCTGCACACCTCACGAAGTTCTATCACCCACACTTACACTTGACTCGTGACGTCACTGACCAGTTCTTTCAGTTGATCAAACATGTTGGTTATAATCTGTACGCTGCCTCCTCCTGCTCCTCCTCCTCCGGTTCCTCCTCTTCCTCCTCCACGGAAATTACCGAAAGACCACGCCGGATTGTAGGAGGCCAGGATGACGTTCCGCGGCAGAAACACGTAGAGAAATAGAACACAGAAGATCTGTTCTCTCGAGAACACTGTTTTCTCAGAAATTCTCAGTTGTCTCCACTGCCTACCGTGTAAAGTCAAGATAGCCTAGTCGAGAAACACAGTGACAGAGAAAGTACCGGAAGCATCTGATGTCACCTACTCTACCGCCTGCCTTCTCCTCCGATCGCAGGAAGCTAGAATGCCTTCACGAGAAACACGGATACAACGAGTACGGGAATCTTCGATGCTCTTATATTGTCTTCTGATATTCACCCACGCTAAGGCACTGCCTGCGCGCGATTCCTATCTCTCCCGCCCACCGGTGGGCGTAGCTGATCAAGGTAAGCAAGCTGTCGTCACCGCCTCGTTGTCTTTACCTGACAGGTAAACGCAATCACACACACAGGTGGCTGCGCCGCCTCGGGATCCGATGTAGCAGGTAGAGGGGAGAGAGGATGGAAGTGGGAGGGGGTTGGGGGAAGGGGTCGCAGGGATGATGAGTAGATGCGGACAAGCAGTGTAGACGCTGGTCGTGCGGCGATACTACGATAAGGTGGCGCGAATCCAGCCCTCAATGCTTGACCACTTGTTACCGAGATTGCTCGATCACAACAGAAATTCAATCGCCCTACAGCAGGGCGAGTTTTTCAGTCAGTAAATACGCTGGAGAGCACTGGGCGTGAGTCGTGTTCCTACGAGCGGAGGCTGCACACTAGTGTGACCAGCTGTGTCGCACGCTTGACCACTTGACCACTCAGCGCTTCGATCGCCTTACGAGTGGGAGAGCCACGGGAAAACTAAATTAGCGTGCTTGATGACCGATTGACCACAGAGAGCGTGCGCAGAGATGCGCGTGTACATCGCACGCACGCAGGACGTGCCGATGTAGCGGCGAATACAACCGCAGACGTGCACGTAGTGACGTACATTAGTCATTTAACGACTTCATTGCTCTAGCCTTAAGCAACCCTTATCGCGAGTGAGCGAGGGAACAATACCACACCACGACGTATGAGGACGGCTTATTACCTGCTGGCGAGCCACAGAGCGTTACTGCACGCACAGTCAAAGCCTTCCCTCCGTCTACTACTGGGTGTGATCAATAATGGGGTCAAGAGTCTGGGTTAAGGTGCTACTGGGTGCCAGCGTTCGGGGTTATCGGCAGAAATATGAGGTTACAGTATGACTGTAAGGGTAATCGGTATTGATACTATCCGCAGTTGTCGTTACACAACAGAGATACGATCAGGGGTGAATCAGAAACAAATTTGTTTTCAATCACTCCTGATATCATATGATCATAATCGTTAATTACTCCTAACCCCAGCCTTAACCCATCCAACCCTAATCCGAATCCTGATCGTAAACATAACCACACCTCTAACCATAGCCCTATAAATAATATAAAACATACTACTACTACTACTACTACTACTACTACTACTACTACTACTACTACTACTACTACTAATAATAATAAAAAAACACCTCACGCGACCTCAAAACAACACACTCTCCTCCTGATGCAGCGTATGTAAAATCCGTATGTTATATATTGTGCCGGCGTCACCCTAACCTAAAACAGTATACGCTAGCTTCCAACGTGTATAATATAAACCGTAATACTCGCTATCGACCGACCGCCGACGACGATGACGATGACGATGACGATGACGATGACGATGACGACGACGATGACGATGACGACGACGATGACGATGACAACGTCCTCGGGCGTGTGCGGCACGCACGGAGAAAGACGAATCTTATCATTTCACGGTATATACACGGCACGCATATATGTGCGTGCGTGCGTGGGTGTGCGTACGTGCGTGTGCGTGTGTTGGTATATGCCGAGTGCCGCTACATGTATACGTATATAGCGCCTGCATATTGACTTGGCCCCCCGCGAGCGCAGTTTTCACAGGCCGAACCACGCTAGCAAGGCATGCGCGCGCACGAGAATCAGATTTTCTCTAAACGAAATCCACTGCAGTCTCGTTGGGCTCCTGATCAATGAATGAGTCGGTTAGAGTGAAGGGCGGATTTGATTCGATCTGTCGCGCAAAGGAGAGAGAAGTGGAATGGGTGGAGTGAAGAAGAGAGGAGGGTGGGGGAAGAGGAGGAAGAGGTGTAGGAGGAGGAGGAGGAGGAGGAGGAGGAGTAGGAGTAGGAGAAGAAGGAGGAGGAAGAGGAGGAGGTGTAAGAGTGTGAGTTTGAGAGAGAGAGAGAGATGGAGAGTCAGAGGGAGAGGAAGAGAGGGGGAGTACGTGTGTGTGTGTGTGTGTGTGTGCGTGCGTGCGTGCGTGCGTGCGTGCGTGCGGGTGAGCCAGAGAGAGATAGCGAGAGATAGAGAGA